AATTATGAAAAAAGAATGGAAATCGGAACAATAGGAGAGCCAGGCTAATCAAAAAGCAATGCCGTGTGCATGCTGTAACCGGGAAAATCGGGACCATTTCTACGAGCTTGCTTAATAAAAAATGGAAAATCCTACAAGATTTAATAAACGTTGCAATTACGTTTACCACGAGTATCCTTTTTATTCTCGATGTTTGACCGTTCGTTCCGGTCCTTTCAAACTTTCCAAGCTTTTATATTTTTACGTCGCTTTAATCATCCGTTTCGACGGTTACTTCCATGCAACGAATTCCGATCGATCGCGATATATTTGTACGATTTTCCCGTTTCCTCGGGGATACGCGCGTTTGCGCTTGCCCGAAACGGCTGCATTCTCGCTGGGAGATGTCGTGATAAATTAGCCCGGAATATCGAGACGAAACTAACGGCGAAGCGATTCGTCCCATCGATAGAGGACACGGTCGCGCAAGTATCGATAAATTCGATACCACGGCAAGCCGCTCCTCCCGCGTTTCTATTTTCCTCGCAACGAAGTCGCGCTGATTCGTTATATTTCGAATCTCTCGATCCCGCGGAACCTACCCCCCGTGCCCCGTTTATTAGAAGAACGGAGCCGAAAGACGACGGAGCGCCGCGGAAAATGGATTCCTAATTAATTAGTCGGAGCGCCTATGGCATCGCGCGAATAAAAGAAATCGATGGTCGGGACTGCTGGAATAGGAAATGAAAAAAACAGATGGAGAGGCAAAAAAAAAAGAGAGATAGTAATTCCTTTTTTGGTGCACGTAACGAATATGGAGGTTGAATACAAAGCGAAACTATCGCGTTCAAATCTCCGACCGTATATCGCGGCAACGCTTGCCCGCGGAGGGAGAGAGACGAGAGTTGCGCTGAAAAGTTGCTCGCCCTGATCTCGATATAATAGAATCGTTATTCGCGGGAAAACCCGGAAGATTTTTATCGCAACGAAAGTCGTTAAACACAGGATAATTCCGCGGTTTCGATGAACCTTTACCGATCGCTCGCGGCGTTCGTGTTCCTCGTTTCCCTTAGGAAGAACGTTCGTTCAGCGAGACTAATCATCCATCGGATGAGAAAGAAATCTTCGGATCGTGAGACAAGATCGAAGAAACGGGGCAAGAACTTTTGTTCTTTGGAAGGGAGAAAGGATCGGTCGATTGAATCGGTTGGGTGAAATTTCTCGCTATCCGGGGTACCGGAGGGTGATCGATAAATCTTGGCGGACGTGGAATGAAATTAGGCAAGAATGGGAAGGTGTTGGAAAATGCGATCGCTATCAAAATTCTCGCGTGGCTCGGGGACAGCGGGAGAATCGGACAGCACCGAGGGTAGGTTTGAATAGAGACCGAGATATCAGCTGTGCTATCCATAGAGGCAAGGGCACATGTTTCGGATAGTGCTCGGTGGCCCGGGTCGCAGAATGCAGATGGGCGGTGCGCAATTGTACAAACGTATGCACGTATGATCTCCTGGCGTTCTCCCTCCTGCCTTCTCCGTCGTTGCCTGTAGCCGCTATCTAACAGTGACCATGCGAGTCCTCGTAGCGCATGGTGGATAGGCGCGGTATGGAAGCATTAAACGGGAGAGGACCGGTGCACACGGTATCAACGTGGGTGCAGCTGCAACTGCAACTGCGACTGCCAGATCCTGGGTTTTGTGCAGCATCGCGTATCGCGGCGGTTCGAGCGAGCCCATGACTTCTACGCGACTATCGATTCCGGCCTGTAGGATAGTACATCGCAAGTTTTACAACCTTGTTTCCGTTGTTCTTTTTTATTGGCCAGTTTTTATTTCGAGGAAACGATCGATCTTTCCACCGTATCGTTTCAACGTCGATACCGGCCGGTATACCTTTATTTTCGATACCGTTCGTTCCCTTTATATTTTATTAAATCTGTTTCGACGTTGGCTCGCGGTACTCGAATCGGTTCCGTATCGGTTTTACCCAGCGTTTTCCCATCGTTCTCGTTTTCATCGAGGAGTAACGTTGCACACCACCCCCCGGTACCGTTCTTACCGAAAGCGGCTCACGGCCACCATTCTTTGCGCTCTCCCGCGATACGACGCATGGCGAGTCCGGATGTAGCGGGATAAAGGACACGGGATAGGGGGTGCAGGGTGGAAAGACACAATTATTCGAAAGTGGAACTAAATTGTCAGATTTAAATATCAAAGCGCGAGAAAAGTATCAGGTCGGTGGGATCCTTTAAGAACAAAGTACCGTTTCAATTTCGTAGATTAGCTCCCAAGGCGTGTTCAATCTCGAGTAGAGTCCTCGCGAGACGTCAGCGTTGGCTTTTAACTTAAAAATAACCTCGCGAAAGTAGGCATGTATATAGGCACGAAATTTATTCCTACTCCGAGACACGGATTATCGCGTGCTCGCGCCAACCATGGGAATAAATATCGACCGGGCAACCATGATGGCCACCCGCTGGATGACTTTAACGATTAAAATATTTCCTCGTTAAAGCAGTTTCAGCTTCCCTTCCTTTTTTTCTTTTCCCTCTTTCCTCGAGATTCCCCTGTACGCAGATTAATTAGTACAGCATCGTTCGGAGAAAGAATAGGAACGAGAGTGCGCCTTAATTACTATTCCAAGACACTGTAAGTTTCGTAATAACCGAGTAGCAGCGGCAACAGCAGCAGCCGAGTATAAGTAATGAATCCAGATGTCGTCGTCATCGTCGAATGTCGGATCGAAAAATAATGACCCGAGTAGAAGTTTCGATTGCACTTTTCGACCCGCTTACGGAATATTAGCACATTCTCGCCATTCAATAATCTCCGTTTACCTCGATAACAAATCGCGTCCGTAATACGATAAAGTCGAGGAGTAAGGGAGCGCGAGGCTCGAACGGGGGGTAGTGACAGACGAATTAACAAATCGCGTCCGTAATACGATAAAGTCGAGGAGCAAGGGAGCGCGAGGCTCGAACGGGGGTTAGTGGCAGACGACTCGTTTCTCTATCGCGACGAAACCACCCTTGGTCGTCGATTTTGCAGAGCGCGTCGGCGATACCGATCCCTTTCCCTTCGATTCGCGAATTTTTTCCATTTTTTTCGAGAGGCCATCCGACGACGATCCAGTCGAAGTTGGGTTACGGCCCGGCGTCGACGTAGTCGCGATCTAATTTCGACGTTCCGTCGACGAGGAAATAAGAGCGCTGGCGCGGCAGAGAAATAAAGGGAGCTTCGGGGGAAAGAGGAAGAAAAAGATACGTACGAAGTCCGGAGTTCGGGCTACAAAACGAAGAGTAAAATTCTCTGGCAGCTAGAAGTTAATGTTTAATTTAAGATAGAGCACTGACTCTTCGTTTGCCATCTTCCCACCATCCTCCGGCAAAGTTATACCCGGTGTTCTAGAAGCCTGCTTTCTCGGATCGATTGGATCCTCGGCCGGTTAAGTAATGGTCAGGCGAGTTTACGACGCGTCTCGAGGCGGAATCACCTTTCTCAGGCGAGAAATTAATTTTTCACTGTCGCGCACCGAATATATCACGACGGCAAATGGCGCGCCTTATATCGCTTCCTATAAGGTCCTTCGTGTTCACCAATCGCGTAATGTAACGCTACTCTCCTCTTCGCTCGGCACAAATTTTCCCGAGCGTAAACACTCGCGATACTGCGGCGTCGACACGATGGATCTCGGTGCTTGCGATCACGAGCAAAAAGAATTACTTCCAATATTATGCTCGCTTTTCCAATTACGCGGGAATGGCGAGCGTGGCGTGTTTAGGATATAGGGTCACCGCCCGTCACAGTACCTTTTGCGTGGGCATGACTGTGGGGTGCATGGGAACGCTTGGGCCGTTCCTCGAAGGCGAGTGACGATAAACGGCGTCCTCGGGTTCGGCTTACAAGCAGAGTGCGAGTCCTTCGGGTCATTGATTTAGTACAAACTTTGCAGGTTAAATATACATTTTCTTGAATTGCACGACGAAATCTATAAATATAATAAATAAATCTAGTAAACTTCTTTTCGCAACAGTTACGAAAAATCGAAACGTCGTTGTAACTGTTGCGACGAGGAAGGTTCTTACTCGTATCGGTCCCAGTTCCTGTCTCGATAGCTGCTATCTAAATCGATTCTCGTCTCGAGTTTGCGAAACTGTCGGTATTAAATTGTTCATAAAATTCTAATCGCGCGCCATTTTTTGATATCCCCTTGTTCCTCCTGATCTTGATAAATCGCCGTATTAAAGTTATAATTCGCACGGAGACTGTTAATCGCAGAGCTCGCGTGTTACGACTGAATTAAAAATGATATTTCTTTTGTACGATCATGCGAGAACCAGAGAGCCTATCATGATTTCCGATGGGCAGAGATATCGCTCGCGACGACTATAGACAGCGAGAACTTGGCGCGTTGTCGAAAGGAATCGGGGTGCCATTTCCTCGCTCGCAATTTTATGGGCACGGTATAATACTTGTGGCTAGCTCTTAAAAATGACATTTTAAAATTCCTAGATATTTGATGCGAAATATCACTACATAGATACATAGAATATAGGCACAAAATCGAAGTAGAACCGATATAGGATCGCAATAGAACCGCGGAAGAATCGATATATCAAACGTTACTGGTACTCGTAATAGAAAACGATATTTTCGCTGATTTCGGTTCTCCGTAACAATCATAGAAAATAACTGTTCTTCGAAACTGTTTGGAGAACCGGAATCGATATTATAACAGTTTTCAACGGCTGTCATTTAACTGTCGCTACGCAAAATTTTCCCGACGGAATTTTGGAATTTCCCCGTAGATTCGTCGAAGCTTCCTGCTCCTGGGCTTCCGATTATTCCGCGAAATGTAATTTCAGAGTGTCGTTTTATTTTCTAACGTAACACGGCGCGTTTACGCGAGGTACTCGACTGCAGGGAGAATCGAGAAATTTATTCGTGCTCGCGCCTCGTTAAGGCGGAGCATTTGTCATCGGCAATGAGTGTACTCGCTTAATAATAATTTAACTGTTCCAGTGGCTTGTTCGACGGTGACAGTGAGAAAGTGTCAAGCGGCCCTGCACACTCTGCAAGCTTTCCCTTTCTTCCGCCCAACGTGCCTCTGCAGGGAACCGCGTGTAGATCCGGACTGTAACAGTTTTCAGAACTTCCTCTTCGACCACCCGTGCGTCTACGTTTTAAAGAAAGGTAAGAGCTAGAGAAACCTATTTTTCCCCAGAAATACCGTCCCGGGTAATTACCTACGCGCATTTCACGCGCCTGCTGCTGATCCTAACGCGCGGGTGCCAAAGTCGCGGACTCTTTCTCTCGCTGGAAAATACGAGAGATCAGGCGGCGACAGGGAAAATCAATTAAGATCAATCTAGTCGCCGTGAAAAAGGGATCGAGCCCGACACGCGTTAATCCTCTAACAAGCGTTTAATCGCGAGTCGCGATTGTAACGAGGGATTTCGTCCGGACGTCGAGGAAATTCCTCTGGACGGTGCCAATCTCTTTGGCCAACGATGCCGTTGTCATAGCCCCAAGAATCCTAATGTCAAACTTCCCCTATTCGAAAATTATCAACATCCTGCACAGTTATCTTGCGCCATATCCAAAACTAGATGTCTCGTCTTAAAACTAACCCTTTTTGCACTCGACGATTTTTTGGTTAAAGAGGGGTACGAGGGGTATAATTAACACGCAGAATTATTTCATTTCGATACCTCGAGCACTCTTATATTATTTTAAATTTGATATATTAATTAATATCGAGCTTCGAAATTTTATTAAATGCCTCTCGAGTGCAAAGGGCTGATCCTCTTCATAGACACCCTACCTCGATTTCCCACGTCGATGCACCTTAAAAAGAACTAACTTTTCTCCGGTAAGGTAAACACCCTTCTCCACTCTCTGAAATCATACCCCCAAAATCTCATGTATAAAATGTTAGTCAATTGTCAACCGTCATCCGTGACCATCAATGAGATAAACGCTCCATTGGGTAAGAATGTTGTCCTATATCACCAATTTATTATTATTTTACTATTATAAACTTTGAATAATAAAAATGCTCCGCGTGATTTCGGCGTGACAGTCAAAGGGTTAACGAATCGCGATCGCGACTTTTTACCGATAATCTGGCCGATCGTTTCTTGTTTAACCGTAACTTCCGTCTGCAACTGCACGCACTCGAAGCCAGCCACGAAGCAAAAGAACGAGAGCGTGAGTCGACGCTCGAGCGTCCTCGAACCGGAATCCGTTCGTCTTTGCCTCGGCAATCGTTCGCGATATTTGCCGTTCGTATTCTCCGCGACTCCCCTTTCGCGCGAAGAAGATTATCCGAATGCCACTCGACTAGAACGGAGCTTGTAGGTCAATATTTTTTACCACGACCTCCATCGGAAATACGCTTCCCGTCGACTGCATCCACGCGTACACGAGTGCCGATATTTTCTATTTTAACCCGATTATATTTGTTAGCCCCCCCCCCACTCCTCCGTGGAAAATTGCAAATAAAATTATTCTTATCATTTTTCCACGTGTCCCACGTCATCCCGCAGCTGGGTCATGTAAGTTCAATTTTCCTGTCCGATATTCGCACGGTATATTCCGTGCCCCCGTTTCTAATTCATCATCCGTGGTCATTCAATTTTTTAAAACGTCCGCCGTGAAAAATCACGTTTCTCTGCTCGCGCGGTTGATACGAGCTTCCATCGCGGCTCATCGATCTTTTTCCTATCTTTTTTTTTTTGTTTTGTTTTTGTTTTCAAATTGCCCGCGCGAGACAGACAACGAGACGCGTTCCGTCGATACGACCCGTTACGTTGGTCCGTATCACGGAGCAGCGGTTAAGACGCAAAAGTGGAATTCACCTGGAATATTGTCTATCGTGGTAAAGTTGGCGGACGAAAAATGGAGGCGGTGAAGCGGCCTGGATGATCGTAATACGCGCAACACGTTACGCTGGGCGCATCGAGTCGAAAGCTTGGAACCGATTTCTTCCTCTTTGCGATCTTTTTATGGCTCGTCGAAAGCTTCAAAGGCCTCGGCTGCATAAGCTGCAACGCGTTGCTTTTCACCGGACCCTGGAACTGACGTTGACTTCGAGAGGAGGGAAACTCGCGGATCTTTGCGCGTTTAACGGGGTGGCGGCGGGAGGGAGAGACGCGTGCCTTTGCCAGGCCTCCTTTCTCCCTTCTTTTTTCCCTCCTTTTTCCTTTTTTCCAAGCAGGAGAGCGAATTTAATCTCATTAAGTGCCGAAGCTTCCTGGTTTTCGTAGCGGCTGCGGCGCGCAGCTTTCATTATCCACGTTGCCTTCCCTGTATGACCGGCTTTCAGCCGACCGTGGCGGCTTATACACTGGGATAAATGTAATTAAGATTCTGGCCAAACTCTTCTAATTGCTCGACTCGTTACTTCCAAATTATTCCCGTTCCTTCGTTCTCGCGGATGCGCCACGGATCCGCGCCTTTTCCTCTTTCGCTGCTCCGTCCTTCGTTATCCTGTACGCGTTTGCCGAGCAATTTATTTTTAACCGATCGCCCGACACAGATCTCTCCGTCTCTTTCTCTTAATTCCGAAATTATGTCTCGAAGCAGAGCCTTCGCTAGCTCGATATATTTCCCCTCTTAGTCTCCGTTTCGAAAGGAGAATTTGTCATCCGCCGTAATCACCGACGTGGCTCCTCGCCGCGCGTGTTCCCACGGTGTACGTTAACGAATATTCGATCTCCTTTGGAAATTATCGTCCGATTAATCGATGCAAGACGCGACCACCCCCGGATACGTCATTGTCGTTTCCCGATAAAGTTGCACGTTCGATACTTGGACGCGTACACGCTCGGTTATACACCACGAGCACGGGTTAACTTTGGCTTTATCGGGTATCGTCGCGACCTGCCTGTGACATATTCGATGGCGTTAATCGTAGGAAAGTTATCTGGAAGGTTGCCGGAGACAGCGCGGCGGGGTCGTAGCGAGAGATGCTACGGAAGAAAATTTGATCGAGGTGCCACTCAGCCGGGCATTTCCCTTCGACGAGAGAGGAGAGAGGCTCGGTCGCGGTTCTCGTGGAAGAAACAAAGGGATCGCGATATCTTTGACTGCGGCCCCTTATATAACCTCCGCGCCATTGCGGCTTCTCCTACGATCTCCATTGTTCATTTTCCCGAGGGCTCGCTCGTCCGGGCCGTCGAGCCTTTTGAGCATTTTCGAACGATTCACGGATAATTCCCAATACGCTTCTTTTCACCCACACTCGCTCCTCCAGCCGCGATCCTTTTTCTCCCTTGCTACCTCCCATTACCCGCCCCCTCGCCCCATCCCCCACCCTTTCTCGCTCTGTCCTCCGTCGTTTTCTTTTCCCGTTTTCACGCTTACCGATGCTAAAAGAATGGCTTTCCTCTTTCCTGTCGATTCCGCCAGGCAAACTCCTTTTTTCCCTCTCTTTTTATCTACCCCCCATCCCCACCCTCGCGCGTCTACCCTTCCATCCCCCGTTATCCTTACTCCATCGAGTCTTTTGTCCGTATACGTTTCACGCGCGTATTTCCGCCAATGATCTTCCTCCTTCCTTGATTCGCGAAACAGAGTATAACGGCCATCGCTCGATTTTCTCTTATATTTCCACCTCTTTCTCCCCTTTTCCACCGTTTTTCTCTAACCGCTTTCGCCTTCCTACACCGTCCCCGCCGAGCCCCTTGCCCGTAAATGAATTAGTCCGCCGTTTAATCGCGATCGTTTTTATCATCGAGGAATTCGTGAGGGGAGTATTGGCGAAGGACGGTGGTCTTTGAAATTATTCGCAGGAAATTTCCCGATCCTCTTCCCTTTATCCGCGAAAAATCTCTCCTCGCCTCTTAACACACCTGCCCCGACTCTCTTTTCTTTCTTTGATAAGAGAATACCTTTATTATTTTCTGCTTCCTCTTTTTGCGCCAGCCGACGATTCCTTATTGTTTTATTTCTCATCGGGTCCCGCGCAGACACGTCTTTTCGTTATATTTCTGCGTCCGAGGGGCTCAATTATTTTTCCACCTTTCCGCGGCCGCGCCTGCTTACGCGAATCTTTCGCGTATTAACGACGAATCGCAGTTTCATTCGAGTAATCGTGTAATTGATATCGAACCTTTCCCACGCCCGCAAGTACAACGTACGCGCAATCGCGCGGAACGGATTAACCTCCGCGTATTTATTCGTTTCTTTCGCCAGCAAGAAGTGTAAAGCAAGAGGTGTAACGAGCTATCTTTCCCGTTTTCCTTCTCGATGAAATACCTTTACGAGGTGCCGCGTTCAAACATCCGCGACGTTCGACCGACGACTGGCCCGTATCGTCTACTTTTTAAAACAATTGATACACGAGAAAGAAAAAGAAGAAAAATTATTTTACAAATAAAATAGAAAATAAAATAGAATAAAACAAAAGCAAAACTTGTTAAGAATATAACGAACCGATGTAGGTGAGATGCTCACAAAAGGGATGAAACGTGATCTGTGGCGTACGAAGAATATTCAGCGACCGATGATGAAGAAAAGTCGCAGCTCGCGGATTATTCCGCGCTCGCTGGTAGGAGGCAGTCGCGGTTCGCGGATTATTCCGCGCTTGGATGCAAATGGGCACAAATGGATGCGCGTGGTACAAAATTAGTTTCACTTAAGAGTCGTCGGTGTCTCGATACGTTTAACCTGTTCGTCTACGATGTCGGTTGAAACCGGTGCTAACCGGAGATGGGACCAAACACGAGTGTCGCAGCTAGGAGGCGTGTCTCGTAGATAAGACTCTAGGTAAACATCGCGAGGCTCGGACAGGCTCGTGGTTAATTTGCGTCGACGACTTCCTTGTTCAGTTCCGTGTTATTGTCCGACGCGTGACGACCTCTCCGTTGCCTACGGCACGCGCTATCGGAACTGAAACGGTAAGAACGCCATTTGAAAACGTTCTTCTATCCTCTTTGACTCGCGAGAGCCCAGGTTCCTCGACCCTAGCCACCCTCGCAAGCGGTTCCCACCAATTCCGTGGTATTCGAAGCGGAAGGGAACTGGAAAAATCGTATTAACTTGCCCGATGTCTGTTCCAGATAAGGACCAGGACGCAATCGACGCGCTGCCGACCTGCAATCATGCGCTGAGCGTCTGTTTACGCGACAAACCGTGCAACCAGATTTTCGAGGACTTCAAAAGCAACTGCAAAGCGCGGGAGGGCAAGTGCAGGATGGAGAGCCGGTGAGTGAAAACGTTGCATCATTACCATAGTTTATTCTACTTTCGGCGCGATCGCGCGAGCACGGCGAACGCACGGGGTGCAGGCCGTCTGTCACCGGTTCGTCGTTTCCATCCGGAGACGACCGTAAGCGCGCGAGTCAATATTTACGTCTGCCTCTTCTCGCTCAAAAATCTTCCCTCGCTGCATCCGACTTGCCTGTGCTTTCCCAATGCCTTTCCCTATGACTTCCCCTATGCCTTCCCTATGCTCCTCCTATTCATAATTCAAGTTAAAGAAAGCGCCGAGTGTTCCTTTTGAATGTCAATCAAAGAAGTAAATTTCTTTGCCTCGCGCTGAATTTCGTCCCCGTGCTTCGCCTGCGCCGCGCTTCGGCTTCAAACGGGGAATAACTCCCTTTTTCAATGTCACTCCGCTCGCTCGTCCGCGAATTTAACGCTTTTGCCGCGACAGCCACGGATTTTCTTCGAGGGTTCTGCGAGTGGAAGGGTGGGTTTACCATGGGTTAAACGATCGCGAGAAATTCGACGATATAAGAGGACACGCGGCCATTTTGCACGCGGTTAATCCGCAGTCGGCATACGAGATCGAAAGGCGGACCGGTAAAACCGGAGCGTTATGGTTCCCCGAGCATTCGATCTTCGCGAGCATGATGGTGGTAACGACGAAAAGTTAACGGAGAGTTGGAAACGAAGTTCCGTTGTCGACTGACAGAACGTTTGACGAAACTTTAAAGCCATTAAATGCGCTGCTTAGCTTTCGCGTTATCCGTTATCGTCATCGCAGTTGGGAATTTCTGCGATCGCTTCATCTCGACGCTATTAAAGCGAGATCATAGGCAACGCGGCTGGCGGACTTAAAACGCCGTGCATTTTGAGCCACGCGCTCGTTTCGCCGAGCGATATTACCGATTCAAAGCCCGAGTGAAATTACATGGTCGTTTGAATCTTGCCAACTTGGACGTACATAAGCAATACTCAAACTTGTCCGGATACTCGAACGTGTCCCTTCCGCTGTAATATTTCACCGGAAACCGGCTACCTTCTCCCTATTCCGCTTCGGGTTTATACTCGCGTAATTTACACGTTCGGGCAACGTCGCGATGCATACTTTATTTTAATTCTCGGCTTAAAATTAGTTAAGGTTAAAGAGACGTATTTCACCGCGCTAATACCTGTACGTTGTGCCAGGTGTTCAAACTTTAAGGAGAACTTACGAAATCTGGGGCGAATATATTAAATTTCCTGCGTAGCTTAGTATCGTCGGATTATCCCGGGGGTAATCTACGGCAAACGATACCGATTATCGAAACGATTCGTAATTTCCTCGGAACTTGGATCCGAAATTTTCACGATCACGAACAATGGGAACGCGTTTTTACTTCATCTCCCCTCTCTCTCCCTCTTTTCCATCGGTATCCTCTTCTTCACGGTCGTCGTAAAGTCGTCAAGGAGCGAGCGCACGCGCACACGCACTTTTAATTACCAAAGTTGCTCGCGTGTCGAAACCTCGCGAGCCAACCCCCTGGATCTTACCCTGCCGTGTAATAATTGCCTCGTATTTTTCTCGTCACCTTCGTACCTCGACGAAACGTCGTCCTACCGACGCGATCATTACCATCGCGGCAGCCTCGGACAGCTAGGCGAGAAAGAATCGAAGCTGATTGCGCGAGGTCGGTGTCCTGCGCGCGAAAACGACGCCGATTGCGTTCGTCGAAGCGATTTAGAAAACGACTTCCGGGTACGACGCGTCGGTTGTCTGGCTGAAAAAACGGACACTTTGGTTGAAAAGGAGCTCGCAACGATTTCCGAGTACGTCGCATCCTCGTTATCAACGGGTCGGTTCTCGCGTTGTTGTTCCGCGTCGCGACGCAACGGAAACGCGAGGGAAAAGCGAGGGAAACGACGTAGCAGAGGAGGACGCGAACGGCACGGTAGCCTTTATGGGACGGTAAAACGGACGCGAAATCGCGAGTAGCTTGGGAATACGAGTTACTTTCCGCGAAGCCCAGATCCACGCACGCCCCGTCGACGTTGCATGCGACGCCTAAGTAATTTCTTCGTGGAAACGCCGTAAGCCCTCCATCGTTCATAACTGACGCGCGTTTTCTCGCGCGCTCCGAGTACGCGACGGCAGCTCGTTCAACCGCTTCCTCTCGCTCGAAAAGGATAACGCGAAAAACCTTCCTGCTGCGCGAACCTACTCCCGCGAGTCGTTTAACGGCTCGTTGTAACGCGCCGCAAACGCGGGCAAAGTTCTCGGCGTGAAATTAACCGCGCGTTTCCGCGGTACGCTGTGTGACCGGTCGTCGAAAAGTTGCCCGTTGACGAGACAGCGAAAATTGAGCTGGTAACGATAATAATAATTTCGCGATTCGTTGCGAGCAAACTGCGTTTAAATCCCGATGAAATCACGACGATTTCTCGGTACAAAGGGGGCAAGAGTATGCGAGAGAGCGCCGCAGCGGCGAGGGATGAAAGCTTGGACGTAGGAGAAAATTTAATCGCTTAATAGCAAATGGTATCGAACGGCACTCGCCGTCTATATCGAGTTTGCTCGGACGTTACGAGCAGAGAAATAAATGTTCCGCGGTAAGCAGAGTCGTTCTTTCAGAATTCTCCGATCCTTTCTTTGTGCGAAAGGGATAGCTACGGAAAGCTACTGCTGATATCGCGAATTCCATTCGTTGCAGCCACTTGCAAAGGTGCTCTCCGCTCGTAAGCTGCACTTGCGCGCCCCCGTGTTGGCATGGCATCGAGCATAGAAGGGCTACACTGTACGCGATACGAGTAAAGCAGTGGAATCTTATTGAAGGATCGAAAGGAAAAAAGCACGGAAACGATGTAAAGTTGAGAGCGGAGGCAACGTTTCGCTCCGGGTATCCTTTCGTCGAAACGCTTTCAATTCCGCTAATTGAACTGTCAGATGCAAATTCGCGTTTCTTTTAACGGCCCGATCGGGGAGTACCATTTCTCCTATAGTTTAGAGCTGTTTCTCGTTGTTTCGATATACCGTGCGCGTAGATATTAAACTCTACGAGGTAGAAAACCCCAGGCCCCGGATTCGCAATATCGCGATGAGATAGAAGCTATCGTATCATTGTAAAAGCTCCCGAACGGAATTCGTCGCGTTACTCTATTTCATTTTAACCGTTTTCCTTCGATCTAGGTTTACGGATCGACGGAAAATTGCTTTCCCCTGTCATTTTCGTTATTAGTCCGCCATCTTGCCGAGCGGAATACACGATACCGTAGGAACGTTGGGCAGGCGAGCAGAATAACGATGGTAAATAATAAGTATGGTTTATTACGAACTAATTTGGCTGTCTCTCAAAGAACTGTCTTCCTTCGCGTTCTTGCACCCTTATTCAAACCTTGCACTCTGCCTCCTGTCGCCCTCGGTGGGCCACGTACCCTAAACGCTCAGACGCATTTCGCTCTTCACTTGCACTCGATACTGCCATAAATATCGAACACTCGTTCATACGATCCTTGCACGCGGTCCCTCGTCCTCTGAACGCTCGAGCCAAACCCGAGATCGCTGTTTATTATCCTTATTATCCCCTATTTTCGAGGAACAGTCTAAGCGTTCCCATGCACTCTACAGTCATACCCACGCAGAAGATACTGTCACAGGCGGTGACCTTGTAACCCTAATCACGCCACGCTCATCATTCTCACAATACATGCCACCACGTTCGTTTAACGCGTTAAATGCCACGCCGGTTTTACGTGCCGTTCCATTCACGCCACAGTTAGTCGTCGTGCGGGCCCTTCCGGGTCGTTAAGCCTTACAGTGCGTATATTCTTCTCACTACTCGATGATCTTTTCCAACGAATAAAACGCGAAACTCGATAATCATGGTTCGAAAATACGCGCGATGAACGGTAAGATTCTAGTCATCGAACGCGAAGGATATACACGATTGAACTACGTTGTCGATACTCAGCGACTGTGGGATCGTAACGCGGGATCCGACGTAGGATCAATCACCGGCATTCGGCTGGAAAGTTTCGAACGACGTGGAAGTACGTCACCGACACTCGGCTAAAGGATTTCAAAGGACGCAGGGCCACGTTGTCGGCGCGGAACGCGGCAAGGATCTATCAAAACACGCTCAGCGTTATCCCGCGCGGAGCGATCCGTCTGGATGACGCGGGGGAAAAATCGTACCCGTGTAGCAGGATAGGGCTGGGAAAATTAAAATCGTAATTCTTCTTCCTCGACTGCCCTAACACGTATGTATACGCGTCTCGGAAGTCCAAGAGCAGGAACTTTCCAAAACACCTGTGTACTATTGGATTCCACGTCGTTTGTTCGGCAAGAGTAATTCGCCCGGGCACAAAGTTTCCCGGCTTGCTAGTTTTCTCTAAAATAAATTCGACAAAGTTGCCGACGGTTTCGTCTTTTATCCCAGCGAATAAATTCTCGCGTGTCCTCCCCCGATATGATAGGGGGCGGCCACGATCCGTGGCATCCGGCTTTTCTTGTCCGCGTTTGGTTATAAACCGACCGAGTGCCATCCCGTTTCCCAGGATTTGCCGCGATGCCGGGACGAGGAAGGCTGCAGAAGTGCGCGAGACCACAATTAATGATCCCGTTAATTTAATTAATGTTCACCGTAAAGTCCGCGGTTCGTTACGCCCGGTATAAGTAGAGCCACTGCGTTCCAGGCAAGAAACGGGGACAAAAATAGTCGTTAAAGTCGACCGGTATACGATCGCCAAGGAAGACCAACCGCGTTTCGTTACGCGGAGATTAAATCGTATTCGAAATTCGAGGAAAAATTTCCTCTCGAGATCGGGTGGTGAGCGCGATAACCTAGACAGGGGGGACGCAGCGCGTGGTAGTCAGATGGGGGGTGGATCTCGCGGGATCCTTACGGTGCATGGTGTTACGGGGGTCCCTCCCTACGAAATTGCGACGTTAGTTTTGTAGTTCCTACGGTGCTGCCGGTTGATATCATGCTCCTTGGTCGTTGCGCTATGATAGGGTAGCAGGT